CATGGTGAAAACTGTTTTCATTTCTGTTACACTTTCTTGTAATTGATGCACTGTGTCTTGAAAAATTATTTATCCGCTGGTGAGATGACCACATTTTAATGCTATTTGAGCTTGCAATCCAAACACTTTCAAATAGAACTTTATATTTGTAATTTTTGCAATGTATTATAAACAAACCGAAAAGCTCAAATTTATTTAAAAATGTAATTAAATCAAAGAAACCCATAAAATGATTAGTTGCATAAATATTTAACCCCCTTTGATAATAATTCTTAATTTATTTCAGGTGCAAAAGAGTAGAATGAAAGGTCCCAAAATTATTATTATGATTTCAGTGTGTAAATAAAGTGATTTCACTTGACTACAAAATAGTCATCTGTCACTGTTAGTTCTCTAAGACAGATATTACATTTCAAGCCGCAACTCACATGTCATGAATGATTGACCATGAAGCTCAAGGAACTTTTAAAACAAATCAGGGATGAAGTAATAGAGATTCACAGATCAGGAGAAGGTTATGTTCTTCTTTAATTAGGGTGAACTCAAATCATAAATCAAACCATCAAGTAGAATTTGCATCACCCCATCCAGATACTTCCTGAATCAGTCCACCATTCCAAACTGAGCACCAGAGCATGCAGGTAACTTGATAGACTAACAATGTGTAATATCTCCAACTTTCTCTGGCTGAAATGGGAATCATTCTATATAAATCAAGCATGTTCAGACTCAAAGCTGGAAAATGTTACTGAAAAACTGATGTCACATGAAAAATAATCTCATACTCAACATCTAGTTACTGCAGACAATAACTGATGTCTACTGCTTTGTTATATGCATTATATACAGTATATACAGTATAAGCAAGAATTGTTTTACTGATCAGGTACTGCTTGAGGCCACTGATCAGGAATAGATTACTGTGGATGTACCGCTCTAGGATTTCAATAATCACTTATCTAAGTTGATCTTAAATATCAAGAGATGATCATGCAACCCAACAGTGTCTTTTTAATTTAATCTTTTCTACATACAGAGCAGAGCTCTCCAAAATATTAGGAGAATGAAGCCTAAAGTGGAATTTTTTAATCTCTGTATGTTGAAAGAACAAACGTATTGTGACATTGGTTTGCAGTTGACTCTTGTTGTCCAGGTTTTGTCTGTTGTTCGGTAATTAGGCAGTCATAAAAGAATTGTAAACATCCTATCAACTTGTCTTGGCTTAACTTTATTGTCTGGGGTCAGTTATTGAAAATTAAATGAAAACCGAAGAACTTTCTTTAAACAAAAAGTAGGCAGTTTTGAAGGTGTAAGATAAAAAACAATCAGAAACATAGCACTGAAATTGGGCAAGTGAAAAATAGCAATCTGGTTCATTCAGAAAACAAAACTATGAAGTAAGATTATCAATCAGCCAAGACCGGCTTGGCCTAAAAAAAAAACATCTGCAATTGGCAGAAAAATGATTCAGCTGTTAAAAAATGTTATAGTGATGTGTCCAACAACCTCCAGAGCACAGGTGTAAAGGCCAGTTGTGGGTTGCCAATTGTGAGTTGCAGGGTGATACTGTATGGCTGGTGGCTAAAATAAACCTTCCATCATTACAAAGATGAGCTAGGAGACCTTTTACCTATCAAAATCTACTGTTTAGTCATGACTGAGACAGCAGAATTAAAAAGGAAGCAGAGCCCAAAATAATTATAATAATAATAATTGCTTACACTTATATAGCGCTTTTCTAGACACTCCATTTAAAGTCCTTTACAGGTAATAAGGACTCCCCTCCACCACCACCAATGTGCAGCATCCACCTAGATGATGTGACTGCAGCCATAGTGCACCAGAACACTCACCACACATCAGCTATTGGTGGGGAGGAGAGCAGAGTGATGAAGCAAGTTCATAGATGGGGATTATTCGGAAGCCATGACTGGTAAGGGCCAAAGGGAAATTTGGCCAGAACGCTGGGGTTACACCCCTACTCTTTTCGAGAAACACCCATGGATTTTTAATGACCACAGAGAGTCAGGACCTTGGTTTTATGTCTCATCCATGCCTTTTTACAGTACAGTGTCCCTGTCACTATACTGGGGCATTAGGACCCACATAACACCTCTTCCAGCAGCATCCATAATTTTTTCCAGGAGCTCTCCCATCCAGGTACTGACCAGGCTCACACCTGGTTAGCTTCAGTGGGTTGCCAGTTGTGAGTTGCAGGGTGATATGGCTGCTGGCTAAAATAAACCTCCCATCATTACAAAGATGAGCTAGGAGAGTTTTGTAAGTCTAAGGCAGGTGAGACCTTTATAGAAAGATCAGCTATTACCAAAGTGACAGAAAGTAAGGAACTGCACATGCTCCAAAGAACATCTAATCTTTGAAGCATAGTAGAGGCAATGTCATGCCCTGCACATGGCTGCCTCTAGACTAAGTTCACTCATCTTTCTTGAGGATGTCACTAATGGTGGCTGCACCATTAAAGAATTAATTGTGGAATTTACAGCAACATTGTATTTGCATATGTAGAAGAAAATGCTTCCATACTAACTGAGCAGCACCATGCAGTACGTTAATGACCCAAAACACACAACAAATCACACGACTAATGCAAGCAATGAGCTCACCAGGAGAAAAAAAATGAAAAAGGTTTAGAGTGGATTGGATTCAATAAGGTATGCCTGTTTTGAGAATAATTACACAAAGAGTTTGGTGAGCTCCCTGGGGTGCATAATTCAGATAATGCCACAAATTTACTTAAAGTAATGTGCCCCGATACTTATGGTCACCTGAAATTATGATGTTAAACATAAAGTATGTAATCAAATGTATGCATGAAATTACCCCAAAATAAAAGGTATATTGTACTTATCATTCATAAATAATACAAATTAAAAAAAAATGAATTGATTGACTATAAAATAAATAATAGAAGTTTTGACTATGCAGTCAAAAGGGTCCAATATGCATGATAAACCTCTATTATTGAATTAAGATTAATTGTTTGGGCCTTCTGGTAGCTAAAGCTGGCCTTACAACTTTTCTTTTCAAATGACTTTAGATGTTTATGGCTACAATTTTGTAAATAAGGTTCTGTCAGCATTTTCCACATCCTACACCACTCGTAAATAGCTTTGCAACCTCCTTGTGAGTTTGGAAACTCTAGTTTGAGAAACGCTGATGCAGCACAAACAAACATGATATATTTAAAATATTTTTCAACAAAATCATTTACAATTTTTTATGCAACCACAATAAATGTATTGTGATGGGAACTCTCAATTTCCTCAAGGAGAAAGTCCAGAGGTGTTTCAGGAACATCCAAGGTGTTATGAGGTGTTTTGTAATTTATACTGTTTTGCTACTTTGCAAAAGCAAGGCACTGTAGAATGTGAAAATCTAAACATTGCAGTGTCAATATTAACTCTTGTGAAAATGTCAGGTTCTGAAGGTGGTGATTAAATGGCTAATGGTGATGCTCTTCATAAATAACTTATTGCTAGGTATTTCTTTTGTTGTTGTTTTTGGATAGATGTGATGCAGTATTGCACAATTTCGTATAGGCAACTCATACAGGAACCAACTGAAAACATTCCTATACAGAAATCCTCCACCTACCAGGCTTGTGAAAAATCATTAACTAAGTGTCACGTCTGATCAGCCTTCCTTACTTAAAATTAGCTCTGTAGGAACAACTGTTTAAAACATTATTTTATTTTCTCACTTGACAAATTGTACTAAAACATTTTGCAACTATAATGCAATATAGTATTTTAAGCCTCTAGTTTAAAATTGTTATAAGTCCTAACAGTAATGTATGTATTACATTTTTATATAATAAATTGTCTTCTGGGAAAACTGGCCCTAGTGTGAGTGTGTGATTTGCCTGTGTCTTTGTGTACCCTGTGATGGACTGGCATTCCGTCCTGGATGTTCCCTGCCTTGTGCCTGTTGCTGGACGGTATAGAGTTCGGCTTCCCTGTTACCCTGTATTGGAGCGATTCTAAATTGGATGAATGAATCGACTTTATGCATGCATCCAGCTTAGACACAGCTTAGAGGAATCTAAGCTGAAGGGCAATTAAAACAGACCATAGGAGGCAGTTCTTTACATAAATGACTGTGGAAGTAAGGAACAAGCTGTCCTTCCATGTTGGTGAGCCATCACCCTCACTTCTTAAAAGAAATGTCACAATGTGATCCTCAAATCTATTAGCTACTAACTGCCTAACAGGCTAGATGAGCCACATTGCCATTTGATCTTTTACATAAAAACATAACATTAGTTGTATCTTGTTTAAAAACCACTTACACAGGCATACTCAACATTACACATAGGACAGAAAAGGAAACTTGTACAAAATCAGTGTGTGTCTGTAAATGGAACAAACAATGTATCAATTTCACTAGAGTTAATTTAAGGTTTACTGGAGCCCTTCAGACACAACATTCTCCAAACGGTCTCCTCTTACAGTAGTTCTCCTTTGAGTTCATACTTTAACTGTACTGTTCAGTGAGAGCTACTAATTTTGCAAAAGTTAATCAATAATTGAGTGTACAGTATGTGAGTCAATACATTTTCATAAAAGCTGTAGCTATGCTCTTTTCACAAGAAGTGCTTCGCTACTGTACAAACAGTCTGGAATTGTAGAGCTGTGAAACTGCTCACATATTTGGAAAAAAGCATCACTCTTCTGCTTTGCTGTAACAATGTTAAGTAGCATCACTAAGTAGGGAGATACAGTAACTGTTCATAGGTCTTTGCTTAAAAAACAGGAACTTTACTAAGAAATTATTATTGCAAAAACAATACTTTTGGTTTGGAAATATGTTTGGAAAATCAGCAAAGCTTTGTGTATTTCTACATATTCTATGTTTGTACATACACTTTGTTTATAGTTACAATAGTTTATATATTTTATGAGAAATACAGTAAAACACATTTTAATTTTTTCCACAGGCAGTGATACCTTTACCTTTACTGTATAAAAAAGACAAATTACCTGATAAAGTTCTATTCGCTGCTCAGAAACTCTTGCCTTTGGATTTGGTAATCGAAAAATCCTAAGTTCCGCCTTCACCAAATTTGAGGCATTCTTCTCCATTGGTGAGACATCAAATGTGAGTCGTCTGAAGTAAGGATTATATAGCGTCGAAGAGATGACATCTGGAAAGGATTTGAAGATGTGATAAGGAAAATGTTAAAACGTTTATCCTGAAACACACCTGAAATCTGATAGCCACGGTCGCTCTATTTCTATTCGAATGCTGATAAATTCCAATCCTAACATAATTCAGCACGGTTCTACAGTCTGGCTTTTTTTTAAAAAGGAAATGATTAGGCATAAGGATTATAAAGACATATACAGCATGTAATTTTCATTTTGCAACTACAGTATGTTCATATAATATGAATGGGAAACTGATTGCTTGAAATTGTGTTGTGAATGGTGTACAGCAGTGATAGGCAACCTTAGCTCTCAGATGCCAACCAAGTTTACTTCTGAAATACACCACATCTGAGGACCTTAGTGACTTAATTGAACCAATTAAGTAGATGAAAATTCAAATCCCCTGCTTTTTCCAGGTATTAACTACAGTAGGTGCTTATTGAAAGGTCCTACTAAAACCTACAGGAACCTGGCACTGGTGAACCAGCACAGCCCACCCCTGTTGTAGAGACAACATACCCTAACAAGACATACAAATCCTTTAAAATTCCAAATATTCATCTCTTCTGTGATTAAAATTAGAAGCTTGATAAAGATGACAGTTGTTTTAAGTTGGGGTTTTTTTTGTAGATTTTATTCAGGTAATCATTTTGATAAACATACAATAACTGATTTTACAGTATGTTACCATTGTTGTCATACTTTGGAAATACTTATGGAATCTGTGTAAAAAAGCCAGAAAATAGTAAGTCATAAGCATACATTCACAGTTCTCCCATTAACACAATGAGTGCTAATTGATAAGCCCACAATTAAACCAGTTCATTAAGGCACTCTAGCAGCTTAATTTGCATCTAAACAAAAAATGGTCACACTGACGTGCTGTAAAAATCTTAAGTTTGACATTTTTTATCTTTAGTTGGACAAGGCATTCTGAGAATTATTTGGCAAGTTTATATGATATGTACTATAAAACAAATTATATATTTGTGTATATACTATCTCGATATAAGAAAAACACCAATCTTAAATTGTATTCACTTCATAATGTATTTATAACACTTCTATACAGAAATAAAGTATACATTTTTTCCAACATGTAAATCATATGGGATTTTGCAACTGAACTAAACTTTGAACTGAAAAAGGTATTATCATTTTCATATTATTAAAACACTGATTAGTGTTACAGTTTACTGTTGTTATGATTTTCAGGTCATGTCTAGAAAATAAGGTAAAGTTCTCTTTAAATAAATTTAATTAAAAAAACTATAGAAACACAACTTACAGTAAATGGTTAAGGAATGGTAGGACATTACAAAATAATTTACATAATGTCCCTCTTTCTGGATTACAGAAGATCAAAAAGCAGTATAAATCCAGAAAACAATAAAAAGAAGATGTGTAAAATAGTCTCATAAATCTGTATATTTTACCAATTTTACGTCAACTAAATGTGTTTTAAGTCTGATCTGGTGATATTCCAATACAGTGGATAATGTTTTAGGCTACTGCCAACAAGAATTGTGGAATGCCATGCCAACACACTTTATAGCAATCATATTTTATTATGAGTAAATAAAACTTTGACAAAATAATTCCTTACTAATATGCTGGGAAGGTTTCAGTTTAAAAAAGCTGTCTTTTGAAATAATCACACTTAGGAACAGTTGACTGGACAATTACAATTCTCATGAAAGCTTTGGAAAGTGTTCAGCCCTTCTGTTGCCTTAAGAGCCCACACAATTTCTGAATGTAAAGTAAGGGTTTTGCAGGAATTAAAAATAGAAAATAGGACAGAATCTATTATTCTAAACATTTAACACTTTCTGCATAATCAGAATTCTGGCCAAATCAGCCAGGATTCATCCTCCTACTATCATCAATGCCAATGGGGAAAAGTAGAACAATTAAATAATAAATGTAACCTTACTGTACAGTATAGAATAGTTGCTACGTTTTATTTGAAGTTGTGATCTGCATCAATCCTGGTTGTTTAAATATGGAAAAATATATATTTGACTGTTGTAAGGCACCATGATGGGTAGGGTGCTATCTTATACGAGTATATTTTTAACATAATTGCCTTTGGATCACTTTTCCTCTTTCCATACTACCAGGGAAAGGTTTTTTTCCTTCCAGCACAGGCTGCTTCTTCTCATAGTCGACAGTGGTTCAGATCTGGGCTCTGTCATTAGTTAACTGTGACTGTGACTCCAGAAAGAGGATGAACAGGGAAGGAGAGGTTGTAAATCGGCTTCCCAGGCCACAGCATCCCTTGAAATTTGCACTGATAATGGTGAAAGATATGTCTGACCACAATTCTTTGCTTAACCCTATTGTCTGTACTGCCGGCATGCAATGTAAAAAGTGGATAATGACAAACAATTGCCTGAAGAGTACTCATCTGTAGTCTACATTTCTTTCATGGACCACAGTTGTAATTGTATATCACATTGAATAACAACTGTGGAATACAAAATTCAAGGAAAAAAGAATATATAATTTGTGATTCTATGTTTACCTAGAAACTATAATGTATTACCATACCAAGTTAGGTGTTTGTGAGATTCATAGAAACAAGAAAGAAAAGGTATGTTATTGAGTAAACATAAAGAAATGTAGTCTATAGGCATTTCCAACAGACGTTCTGGAAAAAAAACAACTTTTCAAGCAGCTTCGTGGACGCACACTACAGACCTCACTACAACAACCGACAGCTTGATATTGTGGTGGAAATAAATGCTTGGTTTGAAGATTTTTAAGTAATGAACCATGGAAAGAGCAATTGCAGTCACATTTGTAACCACACAAATAGTCCAACCTGCGTGCTCTGTAAAATTGTTTATCCACTTTGTTATGTCGTTGTTGGGTAAGGTTGCTGTATTTGAAGGTGCAAATTGGCATAGGTTCTTAAATCCATGTCATGTTACTTAAACATACTGCCTTGGCAATTTCCACAGCAAAGTAACGGCAAAGTTGCCAATGGATTTTATTGTCATATGGTCTATTAAATGCTTCAATTAAATCCGTTATAAATACTATGTAATGCTACCATTGTTTTAGAAATCACATAACAACCAGCTAAATATCTGCTAATTAACTTTCCTATTCTTTAAAAGTGCTACTAAAATTATACATTATATTTTCAGAAATGAAAGAATACTGTTATGAATCCTGAGATAATCATGATCACAATCTTATTTGAATAGAGAAATACTTCTATACCAAATGTCGCAAAGAAAACATGAACAAGGTGAAAATAGGGGAGACGTACTTTTGTTTGAGAAAGTCTGTGGCATTTAACACATTATCAAAATTCTCCTTTAAAACACTGTATATAGTTCATTTCAAAATGGACACTTTCGCTATGGAAAGAAACAGGGACACACGGTCACAAGGGCACCCAGTGACCTAGACACAAAGGATAGAGAGAATAGAAAGCACCCCAAAGCGATCTGGAACACTCTATCTAACCAAGACCACATTCTGGAGTCATTCAAGAAGTGGCACAATGAGACTCTGCACTCAACTAGCTACTAAGCATCAAACAAGTCAGACGGGCTGAAATGTCCCCTTATGTTTCTTACCCTTCTTTCTTAAGAGGAGCCACAAATTCTACAGAGACAGTCCATCTGTCATGGAAAATCGAGCAAAATTGATGTTCCAGTTTCAGACTGCACAAGGAAACCTGGAAGCTGTGCATGGAATGAATGACAAATAAAAGGCAGCTGCAGTTATCCCTTTTTCTCTTTTCTGAGAAACATCAAACAGGCCAACAATAACAGTGCTTTCTTCTTATCAACAAAACAAGCTAGATCAACATAAAAGTCACACTTCAACTTCCTCTCACAGGTCTGGATTTAAAAACACACCAATAAAAACTTTAACACCATGAATGACACCGTTGTGCTGAAACTAACACTGCCTATATTCATCTTATACAAGGAGTTTCATTCAGAATGCTCCATATCTGCAGAGATGGGACTGGCAGTCATCAGAATTATAAAAATAGGAGAGCAATACAGTTTATCGTGATAAACCTAGAGCATGATTAAATATATGATAGGGTTATAGAAAAGGGAAAATTATTATTATTCGCTGCCAAGAGATTTTTAGTCATTCAGTTACACAAGCCAAATTTGTTAATACTTTTGTAAGGTCTGTTACAAATGCAAAGTGACAAGGTTTATTTTTTTATTTAACAGATGATGTAATCACTTTGGAATTGTAACTTAAAAAATCACAGTTACAGTTATGAAACATTGCTAAAATTTTGTTTTACTGACAATTCTACTGTAAATCAAAGAATACATCTTTTTATAGATGTCTATTGGGCAACTTCTTGTATTAGAAAAGAGTACATTTACAGTAGGTGATACTCTGTTGGCTACACCCATGGGTGCTCCACTTGTTTCCATTTAAAGGAGTAGAGCTGAAGAGTTTAAAACACGTTTACTGTGCTATACTCAGGTTAACCTGTTAGAAATGCAAATTATTGCAATACTACTGTAGTACAAAATCACTAGAGATTCAAAACCCTTGGAGGATGAGTGTGAAAGGTAATCCTACATTTCACCACATTAAGAAAAAGGCTCTACTCAAAACACACCTGCCAAATCACAAATTCAGTTTTTTGACTTTTTTTTGTCAACAATGGCACTATGAAAGATCATCAAAACTGTAATATTGCTCAGATAACACAATACCCTGTGCATACATCAGTGCACTCAAATAACAACCTAATCAATCTCACAGGCAAACAGTACACTACAGCACACTAACTGATGAAAAAGTTTGTAAGACTAACATTCATGTGGCCCTGCACAATTTGTATTTCATGATAATTAAATGAGAATTTGCAGGTGTAGTGTATGATGAAATGAAATCACAGATATCCTAAATAACTATTTCACTTACTATATATCTTTACTAATGAAGAATAAATAAATATGCTAATTGCTACAAATCATATATGGCACAGAAAACTAAGTAG